TTTTCTTTTAAGTTGAAGTTAAATCTTTTTTTTTTTTTTTTATATTTTAAAGATCTTTTCTAATATTTTCTTTTCTAATTCTTAATCTTTGTTTCAAAGTCATGTTTTTCTTGTTCTTGTTTTCTTCTTTCTTCTTCAAGAAAAGTTTTTAATTCTTGATATTCTGTTTCATAAGACATTTTTTTTTATTTTTTCTTTTTGAAGGTTTAAATAAGTTTCTTTTCAGTTTGATATTTAAATTTAATCATTTAAAATTTATTTCATTTAAAAAAATTTGCTATTTATTAAAAACTAATTAGAATTTTAGAATTTCAGAATTTGGATTATTTTTATTTATAATTATTAATTAATTATTTTGATTACAAATACAAATTCTTTTTGAACTACCTTCTAAATTATTAGAATTTTCTAAAATATGTTTATTACGATATTTAAATAATTTATTACATTGCAGATATTCTTGTAAATATCGAATTTTGTACTCTGAAAAATTTTTTCACCAATAAACTATGTTATAAACAACAATATTTTCATCTTCAATATTTCTATTTAATTTATTACTTTTTTTAATTATTTCTTCTAAAGTATTTTCTCTATTTCAATATTTTATATCCCATTACATATCACAAAATTTCTTTTCATTACCTTTTTCAAAAATAATCTGTGTCATACATTCTTCAATTTTATCATTCTATTTACCACTAAATCTAATTATATAATCAAGATGATGTTCAAATTTAGTATTATCTTTTTTATTATCATCTTCAGTGTAACTATATTGTCCAAAATTATAAGCTTCTTCAGGAGGTTTAGTGGTAGTTAAAAATATATACTTTGCAACAAATAGTTCGAAACCTCTATGTATTTTTTCAACTTCAAAATATAAATTATTTAATAAATTTACCATATCATTCCAATCAATCTTTGTACAAAATTCATCAAAAAGCACTATTTCTTGTCTATTATATTTATTCTACCAATTATTTCTATTTCTATTTTTTCAGTTTATCTAAAGTTCATCATGAAATAATTCTATAATCTATCCTGTTTTACCAACTCTACCAGAACTATAACAATAAACTGTAAATGGATACCAAAATCTATTTCTTTATTTTTTTTCATAATTGTTTTTGATCTTCTTGTATAATTTTAATATATTGTAGCATAAAAATTTAACTTGCAGATATCTTATCTTTATCCAATATAGCATCTTTATTACTTAATTGTTGATCACAAATAGTAATGATTTGTTTTATTTCTTCTAATTTCAAATCATTTATATCTTCAGGTAAACTATTTTCTGATTCTTCTAAAAATTGATATTTTCTAAATTCAAATAGACCAACTATATCTGATAATAATTCATCTTTATCTCATCTTGCAAAAGAACAATTACA